AGGGGAGGGGGCCGGGGCCCTCCCGGCGCGCCAGGTACGGCACCGCCCGGCCCGGTCGCGAGTCGCCTTGGCGAAGGCGTTCGGAGTGGTGGCCCCGGTCGCCTTTTATTCCGTAACGGCGAGAAAAGCGGTGTTACTTCACCGGGCCGATAGGAAAGAGATGATTCCTGAAAACCCGCGTCTTCGAGGGTTTCGAGCTTGACCTTGCGTTACCCTGTCGCAGGCACAAAACCTGAAGTCCAGGGTGGCTTAGCAGGAGAGAGGAACGAGCCCTCGAAGAGGACGAGGGATCCTAGAGGGCTCCCGGGCTCTTTTGCGTCATCTAGGAAGCATCTGACGTCACCGTCGCTTTTTGGTTTTGGGACTTTGGGAAAGATTGCTATGAGCTAAATCCTTCTGCTTCTTGTAACCCAAGTAACGCAGTATTTCTGTCAAAAGTTTGTTGTAGGCTCAAGTAACGTGCTGAGTATAAGCAGTGCCTGGCCAGCCTGCGAGCGGCCAAACTCGGCATAAATTGGAGTAAGGGATGGTGGTCTGTAGCACCTTGATGTGAGGTTTGCGTTCTAACTTAGCGCAAGTACTCTGCTACGGTAGATAGCAACTAGGGCACCTTTGCTGTTAAACTGCGCTGGACGGGAACGTTCAGGAAAGCACAGATTTAACTTGCCTTTTTATAGGCTACTAAACTTTGGAGTTCAGAGGCTGCATGTAGCAACCGTAGTCCTATCTAGTCCAGTATCTGGACTGCCTGCCGGTACAGGTGTATTAAATCAACATCAGAGCAAACCTAGCCATGCCAAGATAAAAATAGGTAGGTATGTAGATTTTTACTATTGTCCTTAGGTTAACTGCTGCTATTTCTGTTTCCTAAGGACTTTCATTTACCTGTTCTCATACCTGACGTTCCTTCTTCACCAAGAAATGAACTTCCTGCGGACTGGAGTATTAAAACACGACTTCTTTTTATGTCTTCCCAACCTTTTACCTGGGCAGAACATTTAAAAGCGCAAGAAGAAGCTCAAGGATTTGCCCAACACTGCAGAGCAACAGAAACAAACTTGCCACAGTGCGTACAGGTAATACTTAAGGGGGCAGCTTGGAGATCTAGCTTTAGATAGGAAAATGTAACTTTGCACGTTTCCTTAAGCGTGCTTGCAGGGCTGGCAGCAAAGGTCTTGCTGTGTTTTTGTTTGTTTAGGTCTCACTTACCTTAAGGATAAGGCTCATTTAGACTACTGATCTAACTGCATCCATTGTTTGTACCCTAAAATACAACCAGTGGCAAACAGCGATAAGCGTGTGGTGTTTTAACTTCAACTGTGGCGCAGTTAACAGTTGCTGCCTGTCGTGTCTTTAATCTGGCTTATTTGCAAGCCTAGGACATTTTTTTACCATCTAGTGGGTGTGTGTATGTTGTTTGGTGTGTGTGCGTGAGATTTTTTTTTTTTTCCTCGCATCTGTTGCAATGCTACCTTCTCTTAAGTAAAGATTTAAGTGTTAATACCCTCATAAAATATTGTTTGAAATCTAGGAACCAAAAATGTCCACAGAACTCCGTTGTGCCTTTCAGCAAAGTCTCATTTACTGGCTTCACCCTTCACTGCCTTGGCTGCAGCTGTTTCCTCGCATTGGAGCAGATAGAAAAATAGCAGGAAAGGCTAGTCCTTGGTCACAGGATGAAGCCTTGCAGCAGGTGCTAATGAGTGAATGGTAAGTGGAACCAAGAAACTCTTGTATTTAGCAAAATTAAGACATCAGAATTCTAATTTATGCACAAGTTCTTTCCATTTCTGTGAGAAAGCTTTTTTTTTTTTTTCCCCCAGCAAGAATATTCACTATTTTGAGGACCAGTAAGTCTGAAGCTGTCGTCTTTTGTTAAATGTCCTTGTCTAACCCTAGTTGATTAGGAAAGACTTCTGAAAAGCCTGTTATCAGGTCGCTTCATGTAGAGCCACGTGCTTAAAAGCAAAAGTTACTGGAAAGCATAGCACGCACAAACGGGCTGCGTTTCAGAGGAGTGCAGTTTGCTAGATGCTAAATGCATTTGAAAATATGATTCTCATCTTTCATTATGCTCTCAAAACTGTTCGGAATAGACATTGATAATACCCAGCAAATAACTAAAATCCAGTTTTATGGTGTGTCAGTAGCGAACAATTCACTTCAATAACAGAACTGTTTTATTCTAACTTGCAGGTCTGTCAGCTTTACTTCTCTGTACAATCTGCTCAAAGCCAAACTGTGTCCCTACTTTTATGTATGCACCTACCAGTTTACTGTCCTGTTTCGTGCAGCTGGTCTTGCAGGAAGCGATGTTATTACAGCTGTCATTTCTCCCACAACTAGAGGTTTAAGGGAAGCCATGAGAAATGAAGGTAAGATGAAACCAGTTATTCGAATAACTGATAAAGTGCATTAGCTAGGTGTTAAAAACATTCACTGCTTTCTTTCCCCTTCTGTTCAAGGCATAGAGTTTTCTTTACCTTTGGTAGAAGAAAGTAGAATCAGAAAACGGAAAAACTCTGAAATTAATTTGGAAACAGAAGTTGTTCACAGCCCTGAAGTGGGCAAAAGCCCTGAAGATGGAGAGTAAGTAATAAGTCTTTAAAAATGTCTAGAATTCAAAGGCACCTACAGCCTCCTGCATATTTAATTTAGAAAACCTTAACAGGAAGTATTGCCTTTCTAACCCCTGATTCTGCGTTTTCTAGGGAACCCACTCCAAGTGATGATGATGAAGAAAGTTTCTCTTGGCTTGAGGAGATGGGAGTCCAAGACAAGGTTAAAAAACCAGATGCAATTTCTATTAAACTGTATCCTTTATTTGCATGTCAAGATCTGTTAGAGCAAAAACCTTGTGGAGTTCATCTTTGTGGTATAGATTTAAGTTTTACAAAAGCTTTTGAGGAAATATTTCCAAATATTAATCCACAAGGTACCACACTATTAATAGACAACTTTGCCTGTCTCTTTCAGAATTTCTAAATATTTCTGTTCTTAAAGGAAGAGCCACAGTGGATGGTTAATGCAAACATAAGATCCAGCTAATAGGTCACAGGCTATTTGAATGTGTCACTTCACGTACTGCTTCATTAGCAAGACTTCATTAGATAAAGGACGTCATCTCTTCACGCAGGCTAGGTCTATGTTTGCAGGTAGTGTGGCACAATAGGGATAGCGCTGTAGACCAAAACAGCTGGTGCTGAGAACGTGTTCCAGAGGAGGGATTACCTTCATCTAATCTGGTCCCCTTTGAAGCTGGAGCGCCTAAGGTGTGCTCCTGAGTGCAGCTACCTGTTACTCTCATCCAAGAATGTGAGACTGCTCCACATCTACGCACTGTAAGTGGGGACAATCAGGGGGTTCACTTTGAAAGCAAACTCCCCATCTGAACTAAAATGCTCATGTTTTAATGTTTGCTTTGACACAGTTATCTTATTAAAAGTAGAACTAGTTAACTGCGCAGGTTTTTAACAAAAATGAACTTGCCAGCTATGACTTTTCAGATCTGGAATTTTTTTTTTTTTTTTTTTAAATCTCATAACTTTAATGAAGTCAGAGTTCAGGTTTAAGTTGTTGCTTAACACTTGAAGAACAAACTCAAGTCAGTGTAGCATTTGGGGCAGGGGGGATTGGCTTGGTGTGTGCGTGTGTAGGGTGGTGGTGGTGGTTGTTTTTTTTTTTCCTTTCCGGGGGGGGGGGTCTCCTACTGCCGCACTGCTGTGATTCTTGCTTTGGTGCATTAAGGCTTTTCAGCTGTCCATGTTTTCCCTTTGACTCCAATCAATATAGCCGTAAAGAGAAAAATGAAGTGCAAATGGATCACAAGCCTGAATCTGTTGCATTAATCAAAGGAACAAACACGTTCACGTTGCTGAACTTCTTGATAAACTGTAAGAGTTTAGTGGCTGGGGGGGGGGCACAAGCAGGGCTTCCACCAACTTTGTTGTCCCCCATTGCTTTTCGAGGTGCAACAATGCAGACACTCAAAGTAAGTAACAAAAACGGTTTCTGTTTTTTCCCACAGAGGCGGCTATTTTTTCACTCAGCAGTAGATTAGACACTGTCTTTGTATAGTCACCATATCTCCTTCAGATACAGCAGATTTTTTTTGTTGCTACAGCTTGAGTTAGCCTTTTGACTGCAATACAGACTACGCCCTAAATCATCTTTATCCCAGTAGATCTGTGCTGCTAAACTGAATCCCAGTAATTCCATCCTCAACATCCTGATATATAAAAGGTTAAGTAGACTTCCCAGCTACTAAAATGGTTCTTAAGCGAGACTCCTTTGAACACCAGCACCTTCCTGAGATCTTACAGGGTCCCAAACTATTGTGGCTGCTTACATGAGGGAGCCTCTGAACCACATCTCACAATTTGCTAACAGAAGGAGGTGGCAGATCCTAAAGAATACGTTAACAGGAGTATTGCAGTCCTGTTCCATCAGAGGTAGTTCATGTTATGTGCATCAAAGTTCTTCAGTTACGTTCCTGATTTGCTATAGCATTCCTGCATATTCAAGTCCATACATTTTAGGAGCTCTTACAAAGACAGTAAAACCATCGTAATACTCGCATACATTGACGAGTAAGTTGACACTAGCTAAAGGATTTTGAAAACTTTCAATAGGAATATGGTACTGTAGTTTGAAACTAAAGTGGAACTTTAATTGGCATATCAAGAACTGTTCTTACTTGGTCTTGCCTTCAGGCTCGGAGTATAAACGCAAAAGCAAGGGCTCACTTGTCATATGAAGATATATTCAGTTTGGAGATCATAGGCCCTGTCATGCCTCATTCTCTGCATTCTTTGACGATGCTGCTCAAACCTGCACAGAGAGGAGCTTTCTCTGCAATATTATATACGCATGAGCCAACAGCTGTGTTCAACATGGGTCTTGATGATGCAAGCACTGCCCTAAATAAGGTAAGTAAACTAGCAGAGACAATCTTTCCTGATAGGTTTAGTATCTTTATTAGAAAGCAGAGGTCACTGCAACAAAACTGTTTGTTCCTTTATACATGGGTTGACACCCAGTTCCTTTGATCACCACTTGGCAGTCCCGGTGGCTTGGCATTCCATCAGAAACGGAATCATTAGAAAACTAACAGTTCAGGCGTTCCTCAGATGTACCTAAACAAACACTTAAAAGCTATGGTTGCTTCAGACAGGAAGTGTGTATTTATTACATGTCTCAATCTGAACTTTCTCAGGAAGCTGTATGCAAAGATCTTTCTAAATGTGGACTGCAGCCTAAAACGTTGGATCAACTGAGTCAATTTCCAACTTTGGGAAAATCTTCTATCTGCTTCCTAGAAATGAAGGACTATGCTTATACCTGGAAGTCCTAGATATGCTGTTTCAATTTAATGGAACAGGATACTTACTTTCTAGCATGCAGTTGCTTGTACTTATGTGGACGGTCTATGCAAACAGCACCTATGTAGTACCAGGAGGGATATGACCTAATTGAACATACATAATGGATTAAAAACTATTGCACATGACCCACCATAAAATACTTCAATGGACTCTCAAAGAAAATTAAGGAAAAGGCCTTCCTTGGACATCTCCTGTATTTTAGAAAGCTTTTTTAAAATAAAATTTTATAAAATATAATTATCTGTTTTCTTGGTCTGAATTCAGTCTGGAAGGCCTGTATTCTTCATGCCCATGCAACTTCTCTCCTGAAATACAGAACAGCCTCTCTGCCTACTGCCCTGTGTAACTATCCTTGCAGTTACAAAACTTGTTATGCTTTGCCTTCTGCTGTATACATACTTTAGTCTACTGCTATAGCTTATTAAGAGCAATTCTTGTAGCTGCCAGATTCTGATACTCTTATTTAAGAGTTCAGCTTCCTCCACTGTTGCGCACAAGGCCTTCTAAGAGCTGCTCGCTACCTCAGACTCCCCATCTGCCATCTTGAAACGGGCAGCAGCCTCAGAGCGTGGGACCTGAGGAACGGGCCCACTCATATTGGCACATACAACAAGGTGCTGAAAGTAATACGAAAAAGTATTCTGTAGCTGCCTGTAGGGGAAAGCAAGTTAACTTTTATCAACCCGATAACCATCCTGAGATGTGGATTTGAATAGTCTGTTCCTGGGAAATACAGTAAGCAGCATTAAGTTCAGTTGCAGTTTGTATTTTCCCATGTAACTTAGCAGACTAAGGGAGAGAAACTAATGCCAAATAATGGCTTGTAGTCATTAAACTATAAAAATTAGAATTGCTACTAGAATGGGTATCATTAAGCCGAAATTACAGTCTTGTAGTCTAGAGCTGTGTAATTTCAAACATTTACCACTGAATTCTTCATCATATGCTTTGCAGCATTAGCAGAACGTATGGCTCCTCCTCATGCTTTAAAGTATATATTGGTTTTAAGTCACAGCTTTGCCTCTAATTTCAGAAGCATGTTTACAGCTCTGGGGTTAATTGCTGCCCCTGCAGAGTACTTGGACCTTCACTTAACCTTCACTGTAAAAACTATGCTATAGCACTAGCTAGTCTGCTGCTCTTCCAAATATTGAAATTATTTTAAATACAAACTATCTTTATTCCAGTCACTCCTCAGAGCAGTAAGATTTATCTAACTTGCCCTGTGAATTTTCAGCACAGCTATGATTGATTTGGTTGGGAGAACTAGAGAGCAGCAGTTGCTTAAAACATTTTGTAGCTTTTGCACTTGAAGAGGCAGTTTCAAATCTTTGGGGAGACAGGAACTTTGCTTTCCTACCCTTCCAGCTTTATCAATTTAAAAAGTACTAGTTAGAATGCTGCCCAGAAACTGTTTTGGTACAAGCTGGCTCCAAGTTTGGGGGTACCCGTTTCAAAACGCTCTACTTCACCACAAACAAGTTGGAAACACTTTCAGTGAAAGATTACTTCTAGAAAAATAATTCTGTAGCAAAAAGCAAATCCAACACTTAAACAGATCACTGCTTCCTT